CTAGCATATAATTGATTTACCATAATAGCAGAATAAAGAAGAAATGCCTTATGATGATCTCCAGAGATAAAGAAAAAGTATCCGGCAACATTCAAAATCCATTTATAATAAAAACTTTCAGAAAAATAAGAAGAGAAGGGAACTTCCTCAATCTGATAAAGGCATTTTATGAAAAATCTCTATTAACATCACACTTGATGAACTTTTTTACAGTAATATTATAAAAATGTTTTATTGAAATCTAGAAGACTACAAAACAATAGGTGGAGACAATCTGTTTTAACCAAGACTGTAAACCCCAAAGTTATAAAAGACATATTTGGATAAACATTTAAAATTTCTGAATGACAAAAATACTATAAATAAAAATAGCAGACAAATAGTAGAGCTGGGAGAGAAGAGGTAATTCTATAATCTACAAAGTACTCTTACAAAATAAACAGAAAAAGACAAGCAACCCAAGCAAAGCTTAGGAATAGATAATTCACAAAAAGCAAATATAAATGTCCAACAAATTTATGAAAAAGATGCTCAAATTCATTAGTAGGAAAAACCAAATTAAGATAACAATGAGTAATGCTTTACAGGTACCAAGCTGTCAAAAATTAAAAAGAACTTATACCTGCAGGCATATAGGTATTCTCACACATTGCTGGTGCAAATGTAATATACTACAGCCTTTTTGGAAAACATTTTGGATCATCTGTTAAATTTAAAAATACATATACCCGTTGATCCAGCAATTCCACAGTAGGAAATTATCCCACAAAACTAAAAAGATATGTGCCCTTTGACCCAGCAATCCTACTCTTGAGAATTATTTCCAAAGACACAAAATCTCCACTACACAAGGACATATGTAAAAGTATACTGTTGTAGCAATGTTTATAGAGGCAAAATAATGGAAACAAATCAACACCACTGATACGGGAATGCTTAATAAACGATGGCATAACTACCCCATGTCCCAGTATGCAGTTATCACAAAGACTGATTCAGAGTTTTATCAGATGGCCTGGAAAAATATTTCCATGAGTATTTATAAGAATATTTTTCTCACGGAAAAACGAGAAGCAGAAAAACAATCATTTAAACAAACAAACGAAATAAGCTCTACCCTGTAGGTATGTTTGTACTTCTGTGTACTACAGAAGATAAATGAGAATAGAGAAAAATATTGAAGGACAATGCTATATTGCTAACATGAGTTGGCTTTCAGGTGGCAGTACTGGAGGAAGGCCTACGTGGGTGAAACACGCAGATCCAAGCCAAAGACGATGCCAAAAAAAAAAAAAAGTATCATATGTCAACTTAAGTAAAATTATGTATTTGTATGGGTATATACAAAGAAGCTAAATGAGGATTAAACTTATAAAATGCTCAGGACATGGTCCTTGAAACCCTTTTCTACTTTAATTTGGATCTAAATTTGAAGTTTTGCAATGTAAGCTTGATTTTTCACTTCTTTTTCTCTATTTAGACAAAACAAAAATGTCCTCCAGTCTTTCTTCATTATCAGAATTAAGGTTTAATTATTATATAAGAACATAATACGACTCTTAACGACAACAGTGAAGGAAACCTCAGAAAATCTGCCATGAAACTAAGGAAAAAGAACAGGTATGTGCACATCACTTGGCCACATCCTTCTGTGAAGGCTGCTCTGAAACTCCAGCTAGCTTTTTCCCTCACATGGAGGTAATTTACATTACATCCAGTACATGAAATAAGAGAATAGTAAAGTTAGGTTTAATGTTCAGTAATAAATGCTGACTTCTCAATGTAAATATAAACTCTATAAAGTTGCCCATTAGAAAGAAATAACTACAATAGATTAGTGTTTTCAAGTAAAGTTATCACAGAATCACGTCGCCAGAAAAAAAAAAGCCAACTTTTATTCAAAAGGTAGGTAGGTGCAAGGACAGCAAGAGTCAAATTTTCATGTACTTTCCAAGTTCCGACACTATAATGAGTAATAAATTTTATTTTAAGAAGAGATGAGCAGCAGCAATTTCAGTCAGCATAAATTATTTAAATGCAAGTTAAAATACGTTGACATTATTCAAATTTTAACTGTGTATCTTTCATTGATTTCTAAAGCTGTCCAAAGAAAACATTTCATCTAAGTGAAAAGTGTTTCTCTATTAGAATGAAATAGACTATAAAGAATCATGTTTTAAAGGTTCCACTTTGAACTTCAATAGTGTAGGTACTTCAGTTGGATTCCTATACACCAATAAAGAGAACAATGGAAAGGAAATCAGGAAAACAATGACATTTATAATAGCTCCTAAAGAATAAATCTAACTAGGGATGTAAAAGACCTGTACAAAGAAAACTACAACACACTACTGCAAGAAACCCAAAGGGATCTACATAAATGGAAAAACATACCATGCTCATGGATAGCTAGACTCAACATTGTGAAAATGACAATTCTACCCAAAGCAATTTACGAATACAATGTGATCCCGATCCAAATACCAACAACATTCTTTAAAGAGATGGAAAAACTAATCATTAACTTTACTTGGAAAGGGGAGAAGCTTCGGATAAGTAAAGCACTACTGAAGAAGAATAAAGTAGGAGGACTCGCACTACCAGACCGCAGAACCTACTATACAGCTACGGTAGTCAAAACAGCCTGGTACTGGTACAACGACAGATACATTGACCAATGGAACAGAATTGAGAACC